CGGTTTGCAATTATCGCTCGAATCCAATGAGTCACCAAAGCCTGGAGTGTCCACAACTGGTACCACAATAAGAGGTGTTATCAACACATTCATAGACATCAAAGAGTGGTAACTATGTCTTACCGGTTAGTTTCAGTTTGACACCCCTTTCCTCAATGTCTACCGTTTGCGTCTCAATCTTAAGAGTGGACTCGAGCTGTTGGACAGCCGTCAGTGGTTTGCGATTGCTTTTGATGCCAGTGTTGAAGATACAGTTGATAAGAGTGGACTTCCCGAGACCACTCTCCCCCACCACCATCAGCGTGAACTCAAAGCCCTTTTTGTGGGCCTTCCGGTGCACCTGATTGGGAAGGTTCCCGAAGCCCAGGTACTGAGTCTCCTCCGATGCCATACCAGTGGATGTCTTCAGTGGTGATTGTTGACACGAAGTCTTAATGTGTGGAAGTGGTGACCAGTTTGCGAGACAATGTATGCAACAAATGACTGTTACTTTCAATAAGTTGTCTAAACAAAACATGCATTCAATGAGAGGTCGCATAGAGTCTGCGCACTGACGGCACATATCATACAAACTTCAAGTTAGGCTGAGTTTGGCCTCTCATTCAAACACTATTACAGTAGACTTGCATTCAATGCTAACTTATTGAACGGATATTCTGTTACAGAATATTCAATGGTTTATCGTTTTGAACACTTTTTAGCTATAATAACATCACATATAAGTTATTATAAACTATTACTTGAATATAATTGGAATTTTATATTATGAAAAACTTATAAACTTTATTAAATGTAATAAACTTCATACAAAAAAACTTTACAAAGTATTACAAACATGCAAAATAAAATTGTAAAAAAGGTATATAAATATTTTCACTCAACACTAAATAGTTGAGTCTCAAGGGAGTCCATAGTATTCATCGATCATCTCCTGTTGGGTATCAATGAGATAAGTGTCGATAATACCCTTCCCTTTGATATCTATAGGACCCCTACACACGGGTTTAATGTCGTAATTCAATG